CCATTAAGGGAGCGTTACTTCTCTCTGTATAAAATAGTACATGGGGAATAAGAATTACCATTATTATATATGAATTGATGACTTATGGATACCTACATAGTATACCAATAACAATAGCAATAGCAATAGCAAAACCAAACCAATACCAATACTAGAAATACCGTATTGACATTGTGAAGTCCGCTTTAAGCCCCCTCCCTCAGAAAAGCCGATTTTTCAAAAAAAAGCGAAATCGAGTTTTTATCAGAGGAAGATTCCCCGTGATCTCCTCTTTCAGAATATATATAATTATTTGAAAAAGGTTAAGTTTTGACAGACTTATTGAAGAAATACTCTTTCATTTCCCTTACTCCCACACATCTTTCTAAAAATTCCTAAATGTTGGTCTGAAAACATGGGTCTCAAACAGAAAAATTGTTATAACTTTCGTCTGGCTTTAGCTTTCCCAGATATTTTTTTTAATTTTAAAAGTCTGAATCTGAGCTAACTTTTCATCGACCGGATTTTCGATATTTGATTCCTGGACTGAGAAAAGTCTGATTTAGTGCGTTTTTTATACCTAATTTGGCTGTCATACGGAATAAAATGCTGATAAGAAATAAATAGAAGGGAATTTCAAAATTCCGTCCGATGAAACGTTGCGTATGGAGGCTAGCTTTAATTTGAAATCTATCCGACCTCGATAACTTTCACAGTCAAGAAGTTATTTCGATTCTCGTGAAAGCTATAAAACAAGTCGTAAGTCCAGTTTAGTAAGGTATACATGGCTGAAATTTTTACCACTAGCGTTTCTCACTGCCACCATGTATCCCTGAAAGTTTCAGCTTAAACCTATGCTCAAAACTGGCAAGTCGATTCTGAGGGGGAGGAGGGTTAAGGAGATATGAGTAACACCATAACATGGGACGTCAATGTGTATAGGTACCGTCAAAATATAGGACTTGAAGAACTAGGACTATCATCAGAATATATGATTTGAAGAGCTAGAACTATCATCAGAATATAAAACTTGAGGACCTGTGTATATGATTGAGTAAATCCGAGTTCAGTGCATATCTAAATCTGATTAGATCCTTATAAAAGTGTCAAAAAGGTCTCAGATAGTCCTTGATAGTAGACTTGAAGATATCCTGAATAGCCCTCCATAATGGACCAAAAGAGTCCAAGACATTACTTTATAGGAGAGCTAAAATGTCCTTAACTTTAACATTTAATATTTAAAACATTAATTTAAACTTTCATACTCTATTAAAGTGTTTTCAAAATTGAAATGCCGCCCCTAGCTATGATCTTATGTTCTGTATCCTTTGTATCGTCGCTAGGTCCTTCGTATCCTCTGTATCGTCGCTGGATCCTTCGTATCCTCTGGATCCTCTGGATCGCGACCGTATCCCGGATAGACGGAATCCGCTTTTCCCCCCTTGATTGGCGCACTAAATGTCACGACAGATTTCTTATTTTGACTTTTTGATTGCCCTCTAACTATAAGAGATTAATCAATGATGTTTTTACCATTTTTGACTGGGTATATGGTACATCTATGGTAAAAAGTTGAGCTGTTAACTAAATGTCGTTCGCAAGAAAATAGCATTTTACTGAAAAAATGTCACAATAGATTAATATGTTAGATATTCAGAGAAAATATGATATTTTTTCATCTTCTTTTACTTCTATCGACTCCTTTCGACTGAGAGACATTGTTAGACATTTCATTGTTATCGCGAAACAATGCTAAAAAGAACGTAGCTATAAAGCGCGTTTCAAAAAAAAGATGCGTTTTTAATAATAGCAATCGCATTACACTCCCGAAAATGCATGAATACTGCATGCGAGTAGAATTCTGCACATGTCTCTTGGATTCACCGATCGCAAAGGATTCGTTTCGTATATGATAACCATGTGAAAACGTTTCACTCATAATTTTTTTTTATCAAGAAATCTCGGACCTTTCATATATTTTGAGATCTCAATTTTCTCTGAAATGGAAATCCTGACAGTGGGGAAAATAGTTGACTCATATACAACAAATAAGGCTCTATCGAATGCACAGGTCAAATATATCCTCTGTTTACTTTTATTTTTTTCGATCTTTTTCTTCAAACCGTATAAGGTCAGCGCATTTCACTCATATATATATATATATATATATTTTTTTTTGTTCAAGTCATATTTAATAAATATTTTTATATGTTAAAGGTTTTTATATGATATCTGAACAATGGTCACTATTATTATATGTATATACAGCAAATGAATCAATTACCCCGGTCGAAGAAAACGATCAGTAAACGATCGTATACGATACAAATACGGCCCGTTTTACGTGCCGTATTTTCCCCGTATAACAGGGACAGTAATACGGCCGTATGTTCTATAGAATACGATAATATTACGCCGGCTTACGAGGTTTTACGGCTGATATACGGTGTCCGTGTATGGCCGTAATACTGCCCCTGCTAAAACGCCTTAATACGACTTAAAACGGCCGTTTTACGACGGAATACGATGCAAAAACGACTGTTTACGGTAATGTTACACCGGTTTACGGTGGTCCATTTTGGTCGACCTTGGTATAGATTAAATAATTGATAAATTATTAACAAAAACATCATTTCAAGCAGCTATTAAACAATAAGACAAAATTGTTTTATCAAGCGGTGCTGTTCAAAGTCAAGATTTAGTTGATTTAATGAAACACCTTGAATTTTTGTCAAACGCTAATCTAGCAACTAATGCTTCAGGCTTATCTGTACTAATTTCAACATTAGAAATGTTGAAGAGAGCTTTAAACAGCTTAAATAAATTAAAAAATAGATCGTGATTATTTTTTTCTTGTATTTCTGTCTCTCTTTTTCTTTCCTTGTTCCTCTGTCTTATTCCATTTATATAATAAAAGACGAAAAGAAGATAATATTGCATCTGCTTATTGTCTTGTTTTCATTATATTGATTCAAATTGAAAGAAATGTTTTGCAGAAGTATCTAGATCTCATTTCTAATATTAAAATTAATAGACAAAAATAGTCTTAATCAAGAATTTGTTCAATCATTTTCTCGTTTATTTATGAGATAATTCATCAAATAAATTTCCTCGAAATATTCTTCAAGAAGAATTTTATTTTTCATTAAATACTCCTATATCATAAACCTATGCACAAATTGTTTTTATTGCTAATGTTCAAATAATAAATGTTGCATAATAGTCGTTTTTATATACTTGCCAATAATTTATCATCGTTATATTGATCCACTAGTTTTATTATTCATACGAAATACATATTTGCTTGTATGCAACAGATGATTTAATTATAATGATGGACATATTCGAGATTTCTCACAGCCAATTTATTTGTGATAATATCATGCGAGATATCCCTTAGATGATACAATATCGATTTTAAAAAGACATTTCTATGTTTAAAAGTCTATTAACACTTACGCATTATTTAAATCATTTTGTGAAACACGATCTGAAAGGAGTGTTGAAGTATATAGGGTAGAAATTTGGACCCCCCCCCCCACAGACACGGACAGAGAAATTAATTAATTTCTTTGTCCCGGTCTGTGATAGTTTCTGAAGTCCCTCTGTCACTGTCTGTGATGGTTTCTAGAGACTCCATACATCATAATACAGACCGTAATAGAGAAGCTCCACAGACCACCAGTAACAGTAATAGACGAATCCCAGAATAGAAGTTTCATCGTGTTTCACACTTTTAATCCCAAAGGGATTGCGCTAACAGCTTTTTCATCTAGTAGTTAATTATATATGTAACATACTATGAATTTTATTTTAATTTTAATTAAAATCAATATGATCTTTACGATACCGAATTCCATCGGATTCTATGGGGTCCTACCATCCGACGAAATCCCGTTGGATTCCTGGTTGAGGAATCAATGACGAATCCGACAGTCGTATTTCCAATGATATCCGATTGTCGGAACCAATGAAATCCGAAGCATTCCGGTTCCGATTGACGGTTACTGTCGGATTTAATTAGTTTCCGATATCAATTCCGGAACCAGGAATCCGACGATAATGCGATAGTTTCCTTGCGCCTTCCGAAGAGCTCCGTCGGATTCCAATAGGAACCGATCGGAACTCATCGGATCCTAGGCTAGGATCCATTCTTCTGGGTATGTGTGAACTATTCAGAATTATTATTATCTTAAATATATTTAGCATATAAAATAGAATTTTCTTCTGGTTTCTATTAAAATGTCATAAAAGAAAAAATCATTATCTTTATCTTATTGTTACCTATGAACTAAATCTAATATTTTTATTATAGAAGGAGTTAATGTCAATCATTTGAAAAATGACTATAGAATTTTTTTCCAAATAAAATCGATCATCTTCTGTCAAAGTTGAACAGACCATCAGAAAGAAAATCGTCGAAGATATCATCATTTTCTCTTCTGTGAACACCTTACATTGATAGATTGAAAGAATTGATCTGTAAAATCAATATAATTGAATACAGAGATGCGATCGGTTAAGGATTTTTTTAAACCGAGCCGAACCGAACCGATTTAGTTTTCAAAAATTTTTAACCACACCGAAATCGGCTCGATCGATTCGGTTCGGCTTGGTTAGAAATCGACTTAAGTCGCATCTCTGGTACATATTCCCGCGTTGTAAAAAATAAAAGTTTAATGTTGAATCATTGAAATGTCTCTTTCTAAATTTGTCTGAGTAAATATATAAAATATAAATAAATCTATTGTGATCGTCGGGAAAAATATGAAGTCATATGCTCGAATCATATGTGATTTTTGCAAGGGCCTATATATTCATTAGAGTTTATAAATGCCAATCTTTTAATCAATTTTCTTAGTTGCTCATAGCAAATAAATAATATTTTTGAAAATTCTGTTTTATCAAACAATATATTTTTTTCGTCAATGTTCAACAGAAATTTATTTAATAACCATACACGTGAAAAATAACTTTTAAAGTCAGTAAAATATCAGTCTAATTTTGAATATATCATGACTTTATGAGTGAAAATAAGACACTAGATCATTTGTAGGTAAACAAACTTCATCGGCTGTTGGACGGTTGCTTTTCTTTCGATTATATATTGATTCCCAATGATTTGTATGAATAAATTGTGCTAACTTACAATATTTATTGACACTAGTTTCTTTGTTTAACAACCATTTACGCATCGTTGCCCTTTTGCCTAGAATTTGATCTGCCAAACGAAGATTTTCATTTAAGGATCGTGCGATAAAACCGGATGTCTAAAATAAGTTTTTGGTTAACTTAATGAAGTGCCCCACGAATTCTATTTAAAGTCTTCAAAAAATCAACAGAACGCCTCACTCTAATAATTCTAATTGAATATAAAAACTAGATATTTTCTAACGTATCATGGACGTTAGTTATGAATCGTTTCGAAACCGTCGGATGAATAATTGTAATAATAGAATCCAGCGTACATCGAGACAAACAGAAAATTGAATTCAAACCATAATATTTCTCGATAATATTTAAATAGCAGAAGTGCTGTTGTACGCGTGTGATTTATTATCAGCACAGCAAATACTACTACAAATGGGTTTATGTCATGAATTCTCATTATAACAATAGCAGAAGCTGATATTAGTTGAAAGTTCAACGGCACTCCTAGTGATGAATGTACAAAACACCGAGATCTTTTGGAACTATTTAAGAAAAAATTCCCTATGGTTCCGAAAAACGTTTTTGTTCCGATTTTCAATGAAAACATTTTCTCCTAAACATTTCGGTTGAATGTTCAGTTTTACCTCAGTTTCATTCACATGATCATTATTTCAATTCTATCAATAAATCAAGTTTTTTTTCTATTCTAATTTACTAAAAAAAAACATATTACCGCATATTTATTAATTGGTAGTCGTCGAAACCAAAGATATTCATCATAGGCAGTTTGATTCGTCGATAAATGATTTAAATGATTAGCTAAATCTTTTACTGATTTAAAATCATAAACATTAATATAAGAATGTTTCGGTGCAAAACGTGTATAATCCGGTTTTCCACTACGACTAGCAACAATTGGTATCGATGTTGATCCTATCGCATCAATTAATTTTTCCGTAACATAATCTTCACAATTGGAATTTTCAATAGCAAGAACAAATTTATATGATGAATACAAGACAGAATTGGATTCTCTGCGTGTTGTTACAGTTTTAGATTTAATATTATTTAGACAGTGACCATATGAATCAACGCGAATATAAGACATGAGTTCTTTAACAAATGCACTACGGCCGTTGTAAGCATTGCTAAATTGATCGTATTCAAAGTAGTAATTAATAATCAAATATTTATATTTAACTTACCAATTTGATATCAACCAAGCTATGGGAGCCGTTGTTGTCTTTCTTGAGAATGGTACTCGTATGGGCGCAAATAATTGATCAAGATATAGTTTAACATCGAAATAAGTAGCCGGTTCAGGATAGGAACGTTCAAGATTATACCACATTGGAAAATCAAATCGATGCCAATGGTCACTATTCAATGAATGAACTTCACTTTCGAGTATATAAACAGTAGAAAATTGTTGTTGTTCATCATTACGAGTTAATTCTGGTAAATTATTCACTCGTATGTGAATAGAATGAAACGCAATAAGATCAGCTTGTTTTAAAAGAGACTGTTCATTTGTCCAGCGAACAGTAAGTTTTGCTAGACGGTTACATCGTTCGATCAAATTCGAGCGAAGAGTACTATTTATGATGGAATCGAACTTTGATTGACAAAACTTAAGATCAACATGAGAAAAATCACCTAAATCAATGTTGATTATAATCTCAAATTTTATTCAACAAGAAAATTCTTGTAGAAAGCATTACAGCATTTATCTTGATACATTGAGACCTTTTGGCCGGTTCATACTGAATAATAGAAAAAAAAAGATCTGCCTACAGTCATTTTATACTTTCTATTGACTCGTAAATTAATTTTATCGTCATGTCAGAACACTTATTATTACTAATTACCGACAAAAACTTACGTATACTGTTACGGTTAGTGATTTTTTTCTTCTTCTCGGATCCGTTCTTCTCCATAGAACTAGGTGATTTGACATTGAAATGAAAATTCACACTTTTAATCGGATTCTGAAAATGAAATTTCTACCGGATGAATGTTTGGAGCATCAAGGACTTGAGTTAAACTTTGACGTCGTATGAAATTTTATTTGTCCAAGGTTACACGAGTCAGTTAAAAACCGAGTAGCAAAAACACAACTGATCATTTCCCTTTTTGTTTCATCGGGTCATAATCAACTTATCTCATTAGTGAATTCTATCGGTTTTCTTTCTCAATGGAGAAGAAAAATATTGCATCGCATTATTCTATTTTTGTTTTTGAAAACGAACGAAAAACTTACATTTAATAGTATCGTTTTCTCTAAATATATGTTGCTTTCCTGTCCAATCAAGTACAAGAAATTCATTTGAATTTTTCACAAAATTAACATCATAAAATAACCGAAAATGTTGTTGTTGATCAAATGGGTCATGTTTGAACTTTTCTTGTTCACCGAAAAATCGTGAAAGCAAATAAAGATTAAATAGGAAAATGCCAAGGATAAAATACAAGTATAAACACTTAATTGGCGACCGCATCGAGTGATAATTTTGACAATAATCGTTGCTTCATATCGTTTCACGTCAAATATTCATCAAGATCAGAACTCTTGTGAATAGAAAAGAAATGACTGTCTATATATATTTGAGTCGAAGGCAAATGACAAATCGCCGATGCATTTCATTAGTCGCTCACTCAGTTGTTACTACCGTTTTTTCTTCTCCGTCGTTTTTTGCTCTTCTCATGCGTGGTTGCTTCTTTTTCTTTCGCTCTCGCATATTTCTATCATAGTTCGTTCTCTCTCGGCTAAGACTCTGAGCAGGCAATTATCGATTCTTTTCCCCTCTATCCTTTTTGGATTCTTTAGTTTTATCGCTCACGTATATCGATAGTAGGCACGTGCACTCATTTGTTTCTATTGATTAATATTATTTGAAATATCTATTCATTAAAACCCGAAGTTAATCATTACGAATAAATTCGAGTTAGCTCTTGAAGTAATACTAACTGACACGGCACAGTTAAATTCAAGTTAACATATTCATTCGAAATCAAATTTCGATATTAAATACAGTGAATTGTTTCTGGAAATTACAATTCACACATTATCTTTAGATTCATTTTAGTAACATAAAATTTTCTAACACACGATAACTAACGAAACAACAAGTCTCATTTATTTCTCTATATCAGATAGGACATAGTTTTATATTATTGTTTCGTTGCTCTTGCCTTGTTATTTGTTTTGCATTTTTTCTTGATGATTGACTAAGGAAGAAAAATCGATCGGTTGTGCGCATCGTGCCAATGAGACACTCTATCATATTTACTTATTGGCGGCTCGACGCTGTTTGTGAGTCCAACGAAACCTACGACTCAGTTTTACGTTTGTTACTAATTTAATACATATGCTTTTACGAACTACTATTTTTTATAATCGTTAATCTTCTAACTACGCATTAGAGTCAAATGAAATGTAGTGAGAAAGTCTTGGACGAAAACAAATTAAAGCGTGAATACCGAATATTCGTTAATTGGTTTCTGTCGATTGTAATTCTTGGACCGAAATATTTATTTTGATACTACAAACGTTTTCACGAAATGCGACAAATTACAACTGTAAATAGCATAGGAAAGTTTTTTTTATTTATTCGTATTTTATGTGAGGTTGATATCTAATCAGCATGTTGTTTGTACATAACAATTAGAAGACGAACATTTGATCTTCTTTGTAAAACAAAATCCTTTTCTTTCAATCAAGTTAATTATTGTGAAAAATATTTATTCAAGTAATACAATTGTATTATATACATAAACAAAACATGATATAGAACGTAACTATATGATTAATAAAAGTTTTTCAAACGAATTTTTTCTTTTTCTTTTTGGCTATTTGTTCATCGCGTTCTTTAGCTAATTTTAATTGTTTTTCGAGTTCTTCATGTCGACGACGTTCAGTAGCAACTGCATCATCATTCAACGATTGACTTGAACCAGAATTAGTTTTAACTAAGGCTCGTTTTTGTGGTGAAGCATTTTTTTTTGTTGATGAACCACTACTATTACTGCTGACTTTCGATGATTTTGAACGTTTTAAATATTCATTTCTTAGTAAACATTCTTCAATTAATTGTTGTCCTTCGCGGTCAAATGCTAAATCAAGTGTATGCATTAACACATCATCATGCCGTTGTTGCACTTGTCGAGAGGTTGATTTATCGAATTCTTCTTTCTCGAACGGTTGTGTGGCAAGCCACGCACGTTGTAATTGACATGTACCTTGAGATCGATAATCGTCGAGTTCTTTATCTTTAGCTTGAATTAGTTTTATTAATTCAAGTTCACGACTTTTGCGTTCAGCAAGACAATAGACGATTTGACGAACATAATTCGTTTCGTAAAATTCACCTTCACGTCGTAAACATTTAAACATATATTTAAAAAGTATAGAACCATTTATAAGACCTTAAGAAGAAGAAAGAGAATATATTAACGGGTGTTTCAATGATGATCCAAAAAGATCTGCAGAAAACTCTAACTTTGATGTACAATAGTAAATAAATTTCAGTTAGGACTTCAACGATTGTTCGAATTTTCCGTGTATCTTTTGCATACCTTTGATGTCCACTAGTAGTAAATCATCATTAATTAATTGTACACTAATTTGATTGTCTGCTTTCTTAGTAACGGATTGTTCAAATATTTGTTTCATTTTTTCTAAAACTTTTCTTAAATCACGAAATTCCATTTGAGGATTCATACGTTCAAGACGGCCTTGAAGACTCGAACCCTCCAATGTTTCATAATAAGCGTAACCATTATCATAAAAAGCTATTTCGTATCGGCCACCATTAGAATCCGGATCAAAAAAAGGTTGACAACAAAGTTGTGCATTAAGATTATCTTTTCCAGACCATGGCGATGGTGGTAAATTGGACTGTGTAACTCCAATAACAATGCAAGGTTGATGAGAAAATGTTTTAGTAAAAGTACTGGTGAAATTATCGAAAGAATCTAAGGATGATGCCGAAGACATTACTTGTTGTTGTTGTTGCTGTTGCTGTATTTCAAATCTAACACTTAAATATGAAATTACAAGAGACAACGAGTGGTGTACTCATTTCAACCAATGAAAATTTTCTATAGATGTCAATCGTGTACTTTAGGCATACAGAATGCTGTATAAATCGTCTAAAAGGATTTTTTAAAACCACGTATTTATATGAATTTCTTCACAACTTATAATTTCGATTCCGCTAACTATTTATTAATTTGATCAAGATCTTCAATATTTCTTCTCATAGAGTCCAACAGATGTTGTAAATCTTTCACAATCGATTGATTCTTATTTATCAATATTATTAGCGATACATTAGTTTGCTTGGAATTATACGATCGATTTTCATTTCTAGGCTTTTGTTGTGTTGAAACCGATAATAACAAATAAATAGAATTTCTAGAAAAAAAATAATATCTCAAAAAATATAAATAAAAAAATCACATTAAAAAATCTTCTTCGTATAATCTTACTTAGAGACTGCGGATAATCTTTGTTATGCTAGATTTATTATAGGACATTTTAATTGCATTTAATTATATTTGAATACGTAACAGAGGTTAAAATGATGTAGTTGGTAGAAATAAATAGAAGGTTTTCTTTGAGATTTCTATTTATGCTGATAGACTTATTATATCGTGTTTATTGCAAACGGGAAAAACAGGTTTGCAAACTAATTATAGCAAGAAAAGCATCATTGATGAACCTGTCTTAGAGTAGAAGGAAGCTATCATAATACTCTTGTTCTTGTTACTAGTCTAAAAGATAAGGATGTCTCACATTCTTTTGATAACCTTGTCAATATTTTTATTGTCTGTTACTTTGCCTATTTATTATAGTAAAACGTATGGGTATGTATGCACATCTGCAAATGACATCAATTATCTAGTTGTCTAACGTTTTCTCTCTTATAACTTATTCTAGATTAATTATGTTTTATTGTTAATTCGTTTTTTTATTGCTGACAATTGAATATTTATCTGTGACATGTATCTAAAAAGTGATGATCAATATGAAAGTTCTCTTTCTAATTAATCTATACTTTGATTTATATATTTTTCTGTCGTTCTCTCACTAACTGATAATCGTTATCGCGTGTTTCCTTTTTTTTATGCTAATATTTTGTCGTCATATTTTCTAAGTATGTTGCTGCTGTTGTGGTGCAGAGAAAAGAAGAATATACCAGATCCGACAGCATGACTCTGGAAATTCTAATTGACCGTGTTGTTTGCTTGCTTATTCGGCTCCCTCTCTGTTTTTCTGCAGAGAGGAACCAGGAGATAGACACAAAAAAAGAAAGACAGGAAGGATGTAAGTATCAATCAATCATGATCTTAATCAGATAACTACATCTGCTCGTGCTCCCGTCGATAGACGAGAGAAATAATTGTTTCATAAGAGCATACTGTCACACATTGAAGCAGTAATTGTGTAGAAAAAGCAAGTACAAGTGAGAAATATTGAATAGGCATTTCCGGTTGTTTGGAATAATTTAAAACCAAAATAATTTATCATAAATTTGAACAGTAAATAAATTCGAGTATGTTTTTTGATCTGTTATAATTTATCTTATAGTGATAAACTTCTATAGATAATATCAGTAATAGAATGATTATTCGATTACTAAGATAGGTATAATTGATGGTTGATACTTGTCGTTTTTTTTTTGTATGCAACAATATCAGACGAGGATAGAACGAGAGCAATTCGGCTGAGAACTAATATGATAGGAAAAAATGATTCAGTTATTCAAATTAATAGATCGATGGAAAATATTTAGTTAGTTCCAAATACGAGAAAATTTTGTGATTTATTGTTAACAAAGGTTAAATTTTTATGATAGAAATTATCCTATTAAATTATTGATAATTTCGTTAATTAGTTTTATTTAATCGTAAGATTTAATGTGTGAAAGTCTTATAGGGTTAGATGAATTAAAATAAAATAAATATGTCTTGTACAGTTCTTGTTATTTTTTTATCATAGAAAAGTCGATACTGCGAAGAAATTTAATTCAATTTTGCTTCTAATTGGTAGACATTGTCCCACATTAGATAACGTTTACTGTTTAGATAAGAAAACATTAAAAACTCGACTCGTTAAACCTTTCCGAAGACAGTTCTTGTTTATGAAGTCAATTAATAAAACTAAACAATTAGCGAAAGCGAATTAATCTTCATTATTTATCAGCTTAATTGATCTTTCAAAGACTCATACGGCACATATATAGGCCGTTCGTACTAAATCATAGAGAAATGCTCGTTAGACTAATAGTAAACAGTATGTATCAGTTAATCTGAACTGTTCCGGACCGAGAAATATCTATATAGCTAAGTACATCTCCCCATCTTGAAAGAATTCAATAAAAAAATAAAAAATAATTTTCTAAGTGAATGATTTCCTGTTATTATTTTGCATATCGAAAGCACAATAAATTTATTTTAAAACCTCTTTATATTCTAATCGAAACATAAATATATATATTTGTTGTTCAGTTTATTAATTCAATGAGTCCTACACGACGAGAATCAGGAACGGATATAACATCTTCCAGTCAAAATGATGAACAACAACCATTTAATCCTCCAACAAATTCAATAAGTGCATCAACATCACGTATCGATCGTCGAAAGTCTTCTATAGCCGCGATATTTGATGATAACCATCGTCGTGGAGAAAATTTTATCAAACAAACTCGAACGAGTATTCGTCGTTTATGGGATAAATACGATGTACCCTACGTAATTGGTGAAGAAATCGACAATGAAAATACTACATTCTGTGAAACAACGTTGTTTATATGTTCATGGTGTATTTTGATTCTCTTCTTTCCATTTTCTTTGTTTCTCACACTTAAAATTGTTAAAGAATATGAACGTGCTGTTATATTTCGTTTGGGTCGTTTAAAGCATGCATCAGCTCATGGACCTGGTATGTGTTTTATTTTACCATGTATTGATACGGTGCATCTTGTTGATATCCGTACGGTGTCATTCGACGTCCCACCACAAGAAGTGTTAACGCGCGACAGTGTAACAGTTGCTGTCGATGCTGTTGTCTATTATCGTATTTTTAATCCAACCGTTTCTATTGCTAACGTCGAAAATGCTCAAGATTCAACACATCTATTAGCTCAAACATCATTACGAAATGTTCTTGGTACACGCTTATTGTCGGAATTACTATGTGATCGGGGCGCTGTATCGAATTTAATGCGTGAATGTTTAGATGATGCAACCGAATGTTGGGGTATTAAAGTTGAAAGAGTTGAAATTAAAGATGTTCGTTTACCAAAAAGTCTTCAACGCATTATGGCTGCCGAAGCCGAGGCAGCACGTGAAGCAAGAGCAAAAGTAAAACAATAATGTTTTTTTTATTGCAAAAAAACTGAACTGCTTCTCTTTTTGTTTTTCAATTAGATTATTGTAAGTGAAGGAGAATTCAAATCGTCACGCGCACTAAAAGATGCGGCTGATATTCTTGCTCAGTCGCCATGCGCTATGCAGTTACGTTATTTGCAAACGTTGAGTAGTATTGCAACAGAACAAAATTCGACAATCATTTTTCCAATACCGGTTGATTTATTTTCAGTGTTTCAAAAAAATCTTTCAAATATACTAGAAAAGCCGATCAATCCATTTGTATCGACACTAATCAGCCCAGATGATGCGAATGTGAAATTAACAGGAAAATCAACATCAACAGATATTTAAAAAAAACAAGATTGTTTGCCGTGAATAATAGTTTCACACCTTTCTTTCATTTTCTTTTTTTGTTTGTTCTATCGATGTACATGTTTTAGGAGTAAAAATCTAGAACAGTAAATATTATTTTTCTAACCAAAGGACAACAATGCTCAATATACAGAAATATATCTCAGTCTTATATTTATTAACCGAAGATTTTATATGAGCAGTTTTCATTCCTGTTGAAATATAGCTGGATATTATTTGAATTGATGCTGACTGAAACAGTTGTATGTTCTAATCTAGTTTTTCAAAACAAAAACAGCATACAGATAAATTCGCATCAAGGTAATTATCTTTAACAAATTGAAAGCTTACGTGCCTACCAGTGGTTTTAGATTTGCTGAAACAGTAGTTTAATCGTGTGTTATCGTTTTATGGACATGATAAAGAACTGAAAGACTTGTCTGTCAGAAAGATCTCACGGAAAGAAAGCATGCATCTTACAATAGAATGCATATATTAGGATATGACGCGATTATCAACGGACACTATCTAAAAAAAGATATCAATCAGTATGATTTTCAATTTATGAATAAGATTAGCATCATGTTTCTTCTCACGAACTTCTGTCCGACAGTACTGACATCTCATAATTGAGGGAAACATTTTCTTCTATAATTTTTTGTCGTTTATTTAAACAATACGTAGACAAATATCGTAAAGAAAAACAATGATTATTATAAACATTTAAACAACAATTAATAAATAGATACAAAGTTTACGAAAACAGCTTAGAGCTGACACATTTTTCACGCGTAAAATTCATTCGTTTTGTTCGTTTTTTTGATGATCATTGATAATACACATACGTTTTGCACCTTCGCTTTCATTTTCTTGATTTTTTTCTTCACCATTGATCGTAGCAGTTAATTCTAATTTTCTTTTTTTCATCATTAATTTCAATGCGTCGGTTGGTGAAAGTCCAACATTGTTTGATAAGTCAAAATTCATATTATTTTTTGCAGGTATGGTGATATTATGGCCGTTTGTGAATAAACTATCCATAGCATCACGAAGGCATGTGCTAACATCAATAAATATTGATGAATTGTTTTGAGCCTAGATTAATAAAAAATAAATGAGGAAACATCGGATTCGCATCCGATTGTTATGTGTACTGCAAAAGCTGAGTCAATTTATATATGTTGTGAGTAATTCTAAGAAAATTTTTTTTTTTGAAAAAACCCCTGTACCTCCCCTCCCCCCTCAGGGATGGTCTGGTCAATACTGACAATTTTTTCGATAACTCAGCCATTTCTTGACGGATACTTCTTATCTTCGAACTCGATTGAGATCATTGTGTACAAAATTTCATGCCAATTGGATGAGGCTTTCAAAGGTTATCGTGTGAACGGCCGGACGGACACACTGACCGAATCTAGAGTGTACTCAATTTTTTTGAGTACACAAAACAGAACAAAAATGTTCAATTCATCTATGATTTAGAGATAGGCAGCATACTCAACAAACGGGGATATTGCTATTCGAAGATAGATGCGGTAGGGCTAGAAAGTCGTTTAGTAAATATTTATGATTCTCATTACAGGTATTTGACTTCGTATTGGGTTAACAAGGACGTCTCGATTACACTTGTAATCTATGAGGTCTTTAGCAGAAGTATGATACGAATTTTTTTTGCTTTTCATGAATAGGTCTAATGATTCAAAGAATGTCAGCAAAAGGATACACGTTTTTCCGCTAAAATATTAAGTTTCCAAGGAATCTCGATCATATCTTGGAAATTCGATAACTTGCCAATAGAACATTCTTTTCCGCTAAATTGTTTAGCATATTCTTTCAATTATGATACATATATATATATATATATATATATGGAAAGCGGACTTTGCATAAGCTTAGAGAATTTAATTAGAATGTCTAATATTTATAGTTGTGGGATACTCTCTATTCGGCTACACTTAGACTATCATTTTATAAATCGATGGTTATAAAATTATTCAATTGATAAGACATACCATTTTTTTGATTTTGATTGAGATGATGTGCCTTATTATCTAAAATAAAAGAAAAATAATATCTTTATTTGTTCTAGGAAACATGTCATCAATTCTTTTAAAGAGAGGGTAGCAAATCATTTAACACAGGTCACGCATACATTGAGTTAGAAGGAAAAATATCTTCCGAATTGAGTTGACTCAGTTACTTATTTCTTTTCTCCCTACTCATCTATTTCTCATGCAATATAAATATATATCGAGAAATTAGTATGCCAGGCTCGAGAAACTTCCATGCAAATATAATCGTCTTATTTGAAGTAAATATTAAATGGCTGGGTGTCTGTCAATCATAAGAGAAATGAGGGGAAGAAAAAATGAGTTGAAGAGTAAAATCAGCATATTGGTTCGTAGAAATGAACGAACAGATTAATCGATTGCAGATGACGCTACTTTATGTCGGAACAAATGAATCTCTGAGAGGATCGTACACGGGCAAAAGTTAATTGTAATCATCACTATTGCTCATCGCATAGAACTCAATAATTTTAATAATACCTACCACTTCAAATATGAAGACAAGCCGAATATACTTTGTCTATAATAATAATTAATAAATCCTATCGACTATTGATTACGAGGGGTCAAGCAATTGACACATGAATCGTGACACAAGTACAAAGAAAAGAGAAAAAAGAATTTTATGAATTTTTTATCACCAGACATTTACAATCCATGTAATGAAAAAGATGCGTAAAATTTTCCTTTCATTAAAACGTATACATTTCAACCGAGCCACAGCTGTGATGACCGTGTATTAAATACATTGAGAACTTTTCTTTTTTAAATTTTAAAATTCATGCAATCAGGTACTCATACTATTTTATGATGTTTTCTTGGCTTCGAGATATATTCAGAGGCAAGCACGCAATCGAGCCGAATATAATCATGAATGAGATGATGTTTTTTTTCCGTTTTCGATCAATATTCCTCTTCAAAAAGGCACTTGAGAAAAATAAATTAGAAAAGATAAAATAAAATTTTTCGGTAATGAAAAATGCAATAAAAAAGAGACTACTTCTGAGGATTCAAAATAATTGATCGGCAGTGCAATTGATTCGCAAAATTTTAAAAAAAATATAAATAATGTGTTTCTCTCTCTCTCTCTCTCTCTCTCTTCTTATGTATATAGTTATACGCATGCCGCATTAAATTTTTTTCCACATTTTTGTCACAGTTTGAAGCAGAAATCTACTAATGAATCAGCCGAGAATTGTTAGGAAAAGCTATGTGGCTCGTGTCACACATGTACCACGACGACCTAGTAGTAAAATAAAGGTAATACCGTTATTCCTTAGTATAAAGTTCGCTATTTTAGTACATAGATATTACCGCTAGATAGTACAGTGCAGCACCGTTCTATAGCAAGTACCAATGGAATTATTGACAGTAGTGCTCCGTCAGTAGCATCAAAATATGTGTTAAGAAAACCATCATCCATCGAATTTAGTGACAACAATAGTGGCATAGGCAACGCAAAAACACTCCCATCAGATGATATGCACGATTTTATACCAGTCTCAGCTACCAAAAGAAGTGATTTGATACAGCCAAAATCAAATCTCGCACATCGTTTCACCAATTGGTATAAGTAAGTTTAAAACAGCCGGAAAAATATTGCTTTTAGTATCATACAAGATCTTTCGATGAAGGTCCTAAAGATTTAAAATGAAAAAGAAAATCAGCAGAGGAGTCGCTTTTATTTCAGATAAATTCGATGTTGTATTGAGAAATTATATATACGTTTCTTTAAATGTTGTGCCCGATCGTACACATAGAAAATATTGTTTCAAACATCATCACACGATATTTTGTTTTATTTAGTCGATTGACATACAAACAGAAAATATTTTTCGCAGTAATTTGCGCAGTTCTCATAACTTCAGTTCTTGTAGTTACTATTATTCCACCTGTTTATATGTTCGTCATTCTTAAAATCTCTTCGCAATGTAAGCGAATTATTGAAACATAAAACATGAACATTATAGGGCATTTTTTTAATATTTCGCTTGTAGCCTCATTTACTAACAAAACAGTTTCGAGTTGTTCCAGTTCAACATGCATTGGACAAGAAACTCCGTATCGTTCATCACAAGTTACGGCTCTCTATACATTTGACGGAAATACCAATGATCAAAGTGGCTATCTATCTGGAACGGCATCCGGCTCACCTTCATTTTTATATAGCTCTTACGTAGGTCAAGCAATATTTTTAACTTCGAGTTCACAACAATACGTTCAAATTCCAAATATAGGTTTCTCTGAAAGCTTTACATTACAAACATGGATCAACACAGGCGGTCTCTCGATGACAAATGACTACGGTATATTTAGTCAGTGTGACTCAAGTTCGATCTGTTTGTCATTAAATTTTCGAAATGGACGTCTTGTACTTTCATTTGATTCTATGAATGCTAATAACAATACATTAACTGGTTCGACTTTAATTAGCGACAGTGACTGGGTTCATGTGACAGCTGTTTACGATGCAGTTCTATTTCAACAACAGATCTATGTGAATGGTCTCATTGATGCCTTATCATCCGGTATTGTCAGTGCTTTTCAAGGAGGTTCAACTAGTGCAACAACAACGATTGGAAGAGGTTCATCATATTCTTATGGAACTACATATTATAATGGGTAAGAAGTAATAAACTTCATAAAATATTGAAACTGTTTCTTTTTCTATTTGTAGAAAGATCGATCATTTTACCATATCGTCAAGTGTTGCCCGAAATGCATATCAAATCTATAATGATGCATCATTAGTCGTACATTATCCATTTGATACAAACGGCACATATAATGATTATAGTGTTTATCTATGTAATGGTTTGTCATCGGGGACTGCTGTGATATCATCAGGCCGTGTTAATCAAGCGATTTCATTTACATTAAGTACAAGTTATTTTCAATCACAATGTTTTCCAAGAATGCGCGGTGCCTACCCATCATTTTCGTTTTCACTCTGGATCTATCCAACATCGACCACAACGGGCTCAATAGTACACATATCTAGTAATTCAGGCGGCAGTGGGAATTGTTATGATCTCCTAGTTCTCACAAGTGCTGGAGCTTTAGTGTTTCAATGGATGGATACTTCTGGCAATGTTAGTAATGCTCGCGGCCCTGTGATAACTGCTAATACATGGACTCATGTGAGTACGGTGTACGGTCAAAACAGTGGCGTGCGTCTCTTTATTAATGGGCAATTTCGTACTTCATCAAAAAATACGGGAAATCTCAATTTACAGAACACTAATAGCCCATTGTATATCACAGTGGGTAATACAAGTCCATTAGGACCAACCGCGTCATTGAACTGTTCAAGTGGTACAGTACCAATTTCATCAGGATCTTTTTCAGGTTATATTGATGAATTTCGAATGTACAATCGAGAATTAAACAATCAAGAAATTTGTGTACTGGCCAATCCGTGAATTTAAAATAACAATAGACGGTTTGAATAATGAAAAGACAACAGATGAATTATAAAATAATTTGACTTTTATTTATTCTTCAGCAATTCTAATTTTATTTTTAAATGTAAGAAAAAAAAGAAGATTGAGTGCTGCCATTTTTTCTCTTACTCGAATAAACTCTTTCGGTAAACAAAGGTTCAATCAATTAATCACAATACACGTATTGTCGATAGACACTATAAATAGGATAACTGACTCGGTGCTGATTTATTATTAAAGAATTGATTACATATTACTTTTGTTCTGTCAATACAAAATTCAATCAATAATTTATCATGCTTAAAAAAATCAATTGATTTTAATAGATTAGAGAAGTTGACATTTGCTTTCAAGCATATGCTTATTTTGAAAGAAAACTTGTAAACTCATGGGCAAAACTTCAGCAAGGGTGTGGGTGTAGATGATGCTCAAATTGTTGCTCACATGTGGCTGTCACGTCTTGGGTCCAAAAGGTGGTTTTCCGTACAGGCTTAAGTTCTGGATGTTATCAGGAATGCACGATATCTGTAGCCGTGTCACTGATTCGGAATACGGATTGCGCTGCTGGCTTATGAATCTTTTATATCTTTACGTATAGTCATACGGATACTTTTACTGGGAGCGTTCTGGCCATTGCGATAGAAACTATAATATAAAAGCTCATAGCGTAGATTCTTCGAATTGATTTCCGGATTAGCCATTTTAAACGCTGAGAGATATTGCAACCTTTTGTCCTGCGACTATTTGTCTCACGACCATCTGTCCTAGCGCCTTTAGACGACCATACTTCTCCGTTATATATTACACTAGGTAATAGAAATCTATTGGGACTAGCCACTACATTTAGCTGTCCTAACGGTACTATGTCAATTTCACCGGGACCCTTCTCAGGTTCGATTGATGTTTTTCGACTGTAGAATCGAGAATTAGACAGTCAAGAACCTTGCATCTTATCTAATCCATAGATTTTTATGAAGAAGATTGAGTGTGCAATTCAATGCTCCCACTGAATCTATTAGCTACAATAGAATCACTGGTAGCCTGATGAATAACTTCAGTAATTTTTTGCAAAAATATCAGTTGTTCTCTTCTACTCATTTATTTATTTTTTTTTGCAAAATATTTCAATGAAAGTTGCATTTTTTTCTCATAATATTACATTACGCTTTACATTCTCTTTTTGAAAACAATTCGAAAAAACGCAGAAGGGCATCTGTTTGAAAGGCCTCACTAAGTTAAGTGCGTGTACACTATTTCTTTGGTTTCGAAAGTAATTCAAAACAGTCATAGAAACAGCCTCTGTTGAATTTCGAAAAAGAATCATTCAATATATTTTCATTATCTTATTTTTAATTACTGTAAGTTCTAAAAAAAATATCATGATAAAATAAGTACAAAAAAATCTATGAAACTAATTCAAGGTCTAGAAAAAATCATCAGTATCATTTTCAAAATCAAGTGTTGTATAACGATTTGTATTGAATTTTCTTTTAGTGCCTTTCGATGATGATGGATTGTCATTGTTAACAAACATATGATTGGTTCGATCACGAAGTACATTTGGTGATGAAGTCATAGGTGGTTTAAATGTTGAAGAAATACGTTTTGAAATTTGTTGTGATGATGGTGAAGGTGAACGAGATCGTTTACCATCATGATTACCATTGGTCTAGAAACAGAATTAGAGATATTGATTAACCTATTTTTTACGTATGATTTCCTCAGACAAAGACAGAAAACTTTAATTGTAATTATGTATGAGATGCGGCCACCGACAAAACGCAACAGAAAATCTAATTTTATTCTCTACATTGAACAATTCGCCGAACAGCATGTTTAGGTGAAAGACTACTTTTTATTTCCTATCGTGATATTAAAACAGCGATAAAAGAAAGAATTCATTCAACTTACTAATTTATCGATTAATCTTAAGCATGACTGTATTTGTTCTTCAATGTGTTTTACAGAATTCGTAATCATTGATGACAGATTTGGATACTAAAACAAAACGAAATGATTTCATTGAAAGTAGATTATTCAATAAATCGACAAACTTGTCGAAGGCGAAGAACTGCATCGAAAATAATTTGTAACTGCTCTTTATTCATATATTGAAATTGAAGATGTTTGACCGTATCTAAATAAGATTTTATTATAGTCGATGTACGATTATTAGTTGAATTATGAATTGATTCGAGAAGATTGATAGCTAGATGATAATGAGAATGTTCTTCATTTAATTTGTTCATTGGTAAACTTGGCAAAGACAGCAATTCAATACAAAAAGAACACATTTGTTCGATAAAAATTGACCGATAAGCTATGGTACTATTATCCGATACGAAAGGTAAACAACGAGAAACAAGATCAAATGTTATTTCTTCAATAAGTAAAACATTAGAACTAAAACAACAGATTGGAAACGTAAGAAAAATTTTCAATCTTCAACTTACATCGATAAATGAGTAAAGAAATAAAAGAAAGAAGTTATATCATCTCGTTGATGTTGATCAATCGATCGATAGTCATTAGAAAAGCGATAATCAAGTATGATTTTAAGTAAAGAAACTGTTGGTTCAAGACGAGAGCTAAGAAATAATTTAATAAGACCAAATACAATCGTATGTTTTATTTCAATATTCTATAAATAAAAGATAAGATTTAAAAGATAAAAAAAAGCAACACCAATCTATTACTCGATCATTAAAAAGGTTTGATAAATATTGTTCTATAAATTGAGACGTTGTTAAATTTAAACTCGTGAAAAAATCAAGACCACGAACAAGAAGAACGTCGATCAAAGTTGATATTGATTGACATTTCAATGAAATATCTTGAATTTTATTCTAAATTATTGTTAATATAAACTCAAAATAGTTCAGAACAAATTTTCGTTTTTTTCGAGCTCATTTTCAAATTTTCTCCAAAAACCCTCAGTGCGTAAAGAGTCAAATACTTCTCTGTACGATTTATGTTAGCTTTACGCGCACTAATAATTATGGGCTTCAAGAGTGTTTCACGTACGCCTGGGCCTTCTTGTGATTAGTACGTGCTCAAGAATGCGCCATTCTGTTATACTCGGTGAATAATTTATTCGAACAGAAAATCTCAGTGTTGAAGTCAATTCATTAGCATCGAGTTTATAAAAGCTGATAAATTAAGTTTTAACAATTAAAAAAGGCCACCTACGGTAATATGAAGAATTTGCTTAATAAAATCAATCGCTGCTTGTCGAGAATGGCATACCAACGATCTTAATGTTGACAAAGTATACGATTGAATACCAATATCTTTATGTGATAAGCCTGATCTGATCTAAAATGTAGTCAATTTAACTTTTATAATTTTCTAGTTTTTCACTCACTAATGAATCAAGTAATTGTTTTAAATCCGTATTGTTTAATTCGGGTTCTTTCTCATGTTCAATAAATAACTTTGATATAGTCATACATTGCATAAATGTCAATTCTTCATTATGTTCAGTTTTGCAACGTTGTATTATATCATTTAATGTATAGGTTATAAATTGATATCGTTGATCGGCTGTATCTTTTGATGGATGAATACGATGAACAAGTTCAAGCGCTTGCTCAATTATTGTTTCATACTGTCCGAAATGTACAAGCATACAACGACTTATCGCTTCAACACATTTACGGCGATAGATATCAAGCATATCGAACGTTGACAGAATCGACGCATATTGACAAATAACGAATTCGTCGGTTGAAGATAAAGTTTTATCAACAGAAGATTTAACTAAGCGATAAAAATAAGCAATAAATTCATGAAAATCTGGATGAATATTTGTATTATTATCATCGTCATCATCTTCTCCATTAATTAATTGACATAAAATACGCCAAATAAATAACTGTTCAACATAATTCGATACATCGGAAGGTAGAAGACCACCTCTAAAATTGAAAGAAAAGAAAAAAATTTTCGAAAATCGTATTAGAACAATTTATCTGAAGATTCAGTTTTTCTCATTTTAACGAGCGTTCAATTTTTCTTCTCGTTATGGATATAGACTTTCCTATTGATCGGAGCTTAGCATATCATGCAAAAACTTTCACTGTATTCGATTTGAAATCACACTCTGATTGTAGATTTAAACTTACTTGTTTGTACCAATGGCTTTTCTTGTATTATTAATAACAATACGTCGAATATTTTTATCATTAAGAAAATATCGTAAACTTGTTTCAATTGTTAAACGGTAATCGGTTTTCTTATTTTCATTTAACGAAAATATTTTGCATAGTCGAAGAATATCAATAAGTTCAAATCCACTTTGACTAATCCATTGAGTAAAAATAAAACGTGATAAATCACGAGATTTACTCGCCAATTGAAATATAAGGAGTCGTCCATGGAAATCTAATTTATCGAGTGTAAAGCCTCGTTCATGATCTAGTAAACTTTCGAAAGCTGATTGTGATAAATCATTATCAGTTTCAATAGTTGAAAGAAGAAACTTAAGAGAACAAGATGAATATTCAAGTAATGATACGAGTTGACGTCGTCGATCAACATATGGCAACCATTTTGGTGAATTAATTCGACGAAGAAAAGCTACGCACACAAAAAGAAATGGAAGAATTATTTTAGTTAAATAATAATTACAAACCATCAATAAATTGATGATTCTTATGCTGAAACTTAGCAGCTAATTGTATGATTTGATCAAGAACAAGAAATGTTGTTTCGTTATTAAGTAATTCTAATAAATATTGTTCGAATTGATCGGGTATATAAGGTGAACGAGATAGATCAATAAATGATTGAAGTTTATTTAAAATATGAAATGTTGTATGTCGAATTTGACTATCGATTGCAACCATGGTCTAAAATAGAATAAATTAGAATTTTAATTGATTCATTTTCTTCTCTACCTGACTAAATACATCAATAAGCGCATCGAAAACGAGTGACAAATTTCTATTATTTACATAATTAATATGTGTTACATGTGTCAATATAATCAAAAAATCTAGTATTCGCATATTTTTACTGGTAGGTTGATGAACAAAAATAATTTTAACACATTCAATGAATGTATCTAACATATCTAATGTGACCTAGAAATAGATAGAAATATTATTCTTTGGTGCAATTCTAAACAAAAACAGCAAAAAATTTACATGTGATAGTGAAAATAATTCGACCATCGATGCGACTTGATCATGTACTTCATGACCTCGTTCAAATGTCAGACGTTCAAAGATTTGAATTATGGGAGATATCTGTTCTTCTTCTTCGATTTCTTGTATTTCTTCGTTAATATCCATCTAGATTATTACATAACAAAATAGAAATTATTCATATCTGAAATCGAAAGAAAACACAACATGGAATCCAACGAACGAACATATATATAATTCAAAAAGTCGTTCGTTCGAACGAGAGAAAGAAAGAAACGCTATCGATACATGACGTCATTTTCTTCTAGCTATGAAACGAACTGAAATATTGTATTCTTTTCTTGAAAGGAACGATTGGTTCAAATGAAATTCGACCAGCAAACTAACTGAACGATCTCTTAATGAAAATAAAAAGTAAAATTTTAGTCGCGCGTTTCTATTGTTTAACAGATGGGTCTTGATTAAAGCCCAATTGTGATTATCATTCGGATTATTCTGTTAGCAAACATTCGCATCTACTAGTAACCTGATTTACATTTAAAAAAAGTTTGCTTGCAACAATATTTTCCTTCTTCATATAACTACTCTGCACAGCAATGGTCAAAACTCGTTGCTTTCATTACTTTCTATTCCAAGAGAATAAATTTAACGTCCTCGTTGCAATTAGGTTAATTAGTTTCTTTTTTCTTTTGATTATTTGCTATATCTGCTTCCAAGTAGGTAAACCTATACGTCCTCGGGAGGAAAGTCTTTCAAATTTATTGATATGTTAACGAAAGGCTCATAAAATGAATGATTCCATCGAAACATTTGAAACGAGATCATTTGGAGAATGTTGTGAGTCCTGAGAGGGTGAGGTTTTAATTCAAGAAGAATTGTACACTGATCGCCATATTCATCATTTAAGTTCAATTCATCAGTCGCCAATGACTTTTTTCTTCTGAATTAAATAAAAATCTCAAAGCACGATTCTTAATCTATGATCTCTAATACCTACACGTTCACTTGACGTAAAGCTATGCCAATTTATTATCTCCTCTAAAGCACTACAATCTTAATAATGAATCAAAAACTTGTTTCTCATGCGGCTAAAAATTGATTAGACATACAATTTTGAATTTTATTTTGATAGTCAAATATTCGATCGATTAATTAATTAAATAACTTCCGAAACAAGTCCTATTCAACAAATCCAAATCTTATGTACTGCAAAGGCATTGAATCTGAGTGCTAATGAGTAATATTTATTCTCCATAGACATATATTATGCCGCAAACGTAGGCCCGTTCAGAATAGTTGCAGTCGATGTCAATGGTGATAATCTACCAGATATCATCGTTGAAAATTATTCAAGCTTTCGCATCAATGTTCTGCTGCACACGGATAGTGGTGCACTTGACACTCAATGACAATATGCCACTGGTTACAATCCATACGATATGGCCACATACAATGTCAATAACGAATAGATTAATATTTATTGAAACAACAAAGAATTCTCGTTATAATTAAGTTGTAAATATGCTTGTCAGCCAAAACGGCTAACGATCAACCAACATGATTGAAGTAGAAGTTGTTTTGTTTTCAAAACAAACTATACCATCTTGTAAAACACAACTTTCTGCATAAGAAACTCTATTTTGATTGGTTCGACAGCATAAGTAAGGCTGGAAAATATGACTGAAACTGATTACTGGNTTTTTTGTCTGTGTGTTACCGACCAGTATTTCACCTATAGAATCTAAACAGCCCAACGATTGAGGCTCAAACTTTCAGGTATTATAGAAGTTGTCGACTTACATAAGTGTTGAAATTTACAAGCTTTTTCCTTTTACCATTATCGAGATACAATCGTTCGAAGTTGGAAAAACGTCCGTGCGTTACCTGCGTTTCGGCTGTTGTGACTATACAATTACATCCGAGTCCAATACAATCTGATATTAGCACATCCCTAAATGCACCTATTCAAGCTATGTATGGAATCAATCAGAGAAAAAAATCAAAGAAATATCAGTTACAATTCAAATTAATGTATGATGAGTATTACTACGGCAATGACATTTTAAAGACCTTCTTTCCTTTATATAACATTTGATAAAGTCCAAATAGATCAGAAGCATCAATATTTCTTTTTAACTGCAGCTATCCAACTTCGGCATGGTCTTTATCAATATTCTAAGTCATCGAATGCTATATATTAAAATATATCTTGGTTTTCATGAATAACAGTAAAAATATTGCACAACAGAAGCCTCGAACGCTGTTTGATTTGAGAAGAAAATTAGCACATGAGTAGCCCTTTGCGAATTAACAAATATGTTACTAAAATTTACTTTTGTATGCAACCAAAAGATGCCGAAAACAAAAAGAACGAGACACAAAAAAGCCGAACATAGTTTGTGCAATTGTATTAAACAACTGAATACAAATAAAAATGAAAGTAGATTAAAACAATAATTTCTATACGCCATCACATTCAAAAATTTTTATCATCATAGAAGTAATAAGAGAGATTTTCTATCGCAATTAACCATCGAATACTTTCCACGTAAGGCTTCATATGAAAGAATAATAAGAAATTTCTTTAATTTATCGATATTTTTGAAGATTCAAGTGTATTAAGAAAAAAAATATCATCAATTAAAAAAATCGAACTATAGCACACGAGTGTCTTCTTGATAGTCAACACTTTGTTTTATGAATAAATAAAATACTTCCAATTCACACAAAACTAATGCAAACTGTACAATGCTAAATAGCGATACTTATATTTTCTTCTTCTGGAATTATTGCATCTAAAAGGTTAAAAAAAAAATTTTTACAAAATCGAATTCATAAAAGCGTCAATTGTATATATACTATATGCTTTTTGCATTCCTTCATTTTCTTTACTCTTTAACGGCACAGTTCATAGTTGCCGTGTGAAATAATTTTAACTTATTATTTCTATCTCAAGTCATCATCAACGATGAAGCGTTCCAAAGTGATACACTTCGCTCCATTACCTCGACCCTCGACGAGTCGAATGGCTTGGTACAATGAAACTAAAGAAGATGCTAGGCAAAAACGTAACGCTTTACATCAACGGTAAGACAGATATTATAATATAACTCTACTTACACGAGATTATAAACGACAAATCGATTTTGTTCTCTGAGGATGCAATACATAATACATCATTTTACATAATACTTTCGATACAAAATAATCACCTCATAATTCTAACGATAAACAAATCCTGTTTTCAGTTCAAAGACGTTTCCAAAACAAGAATGAATTATTTCATTTAATTGTGACATAGTAAACCCACCGAATTAGTCGATTTAAACAAAAGTGCTTCCATCGTTTCTCAGATTATTTCACTAGAAAATATTTATTTTTCGCTATCTATGATACAATGCATACACATAATTTCATCCTCTGCTGACTCTACTATACATGTTTTACTTTATCTCTTGAAAGCTTTTCTTCTTTCTATTATGCATAAAGCTGTGGCGGTCTCCTTGGATCATGCATATCATGTTGTCCATGTATACTTATTGCCCTACTCGTATGTGCACTTGCATTGGCTATTGGCCTTGGCTTATACTTCAGTGGTGTTCTAAATACCAAAGCAGCAACAGCGACTTCAACAAACCAGGCAAATTCATCAACAACAAGTACCTACTACAATTTAAAAATTCAAATACACGACTAACAATCTATAAATAGGCTTTAGTACATCAACTACAACGACATCTGCTATTTCAAACTCCTCAATTATAGCCACACCCATATCGACAACCACTACGGTGACCACGCCAAACACAACAACCTCGACCTCATCCACTACAACGACTACTACGACTACTACACAGACATCGACATTCCCTGCAACATCAACAACCTCAACAACCACTTCGGCGACAATAACCACATCGACAGTCACCACTACTACAACCACTACAATATCGACAACAACCAACGCCACCATGGCAGCAACAACAACTTCGACAACATCAACGACATCCACAACAACAACAACGACGACATCGACGACGTCAACTACTACCATGCAAACATTTTGTAAGTCTATAATACAGTTTTTATGATGGAAATTCCATATGAATGAATCGTTATAGGTAATAGTTGGATGTGGAATAGTACTGGTATAACCGTTGCTGGTACTGGATCTAGTGGTAGTGGGACAAATCAGTTGAACCAGCCCTGGAATCTCTTCGTTGATCAAACGACAAGTGTGATATATATTGCTGACTCGCTTAATAATCGGATCGTGAAATGGTTGCCGAACGCGACATCAGGAATTGTCGTAGCTGGCACGGGAAATCCTACATCTGCTTCTACTGATCTTAATACACCAAAGGATGTATTTGCTGACTCTAGCGGTAATCTTTATGTGGCGGACAGTGGTAATCAGCGTGTACAGTTTTTTGCGAATGGTAGCACAGTTGGTACAACCGTTTCCACGAGTTGGGGTTGTGGGAATATATTTGGTGTTTATGTTTACAATAGCAAAATCTATGGATGCGATTTCACGAAATCTGTTATTTGGGCAAATGGTACAGGAGTCGTTGGTACTCAAGTAGCGGGTTCTGGGTCGAATCAGTTGAATCAACCACAAGGGTTCACTATTGACGCTTTGTATAACAAAAGTACAGTATATGTGGCTAATTCCATGCAGCATACAGTTGTGCAATTTGTGCCAGGTTCGCCAACAGGTACAATCGTCGCTGGGACCAATGGTGTGAAAAGTAGTGCCAGTAATGGATTGAATTTTCCGGTTGCTGTAAAAATGGATTCTGTGGCGAATCTTTTCATTGTTGACAATAATAACCATCGAATTCAGTTGTATTGTCGATATCCATTCGTTAATACGACTGGACGTACTATTGCTGGTACCGGTGTATTAGGAGCTTCGGCAACCCAGTTAGATTATCCTGCTGGTGTTGCGCTAGATTCTTCATTGAATTTATATGTTGCTGACACGAGCAATAATCGAATACAAAAGTTTATGCGTATTGCTTAAATGTTCATGTATATGTGTGTTAGTTTCAATAAACAGTAGAGTTTCTTGAATTAAATTTCTGAATCTTTGATGGAAAGTCGTTCAAACAGGACCATCCGATCAGAGTATTCTATTTATTTCGAATGATTTGTAAATATTCTTCGGAGACAGAATTGTTCATTTTCTGGCCCCGCGTTATTTGCTGACTTGGAAGTTTCTGTAGTATATTTCGAAAACGCCTTAACATCTTATTCGAAATTTTGTGTACAGAAAATATCCACACTTAATTTGTAATCGTATTCACAGCACTTTGGAGACAATAACAGCAGGTTAATAATAAGAAGAAAGCTAATATCGGTAAAAGTAGAAGGTACTTGTTATTGAACCAGTCAACACAGTTGATTAAAATATTCTTAATTTTATATTTTAAGATATCTATTTCAGTAATGGTAATATTCATATATTCCACAACGCTATTGATATATTAAGATTACTGAATCTATACCTCATTGCCGATTTATCGTGAGATGAATATGGAAGTGAACTAAATTACCAGTGATTTTTAAAATGAAACTTTTATTTTGCATAATTTTCTTCATAAAAACATAGTGGAAATATCGCACTACATCAGATTGATTATCTGCTGGTAGCACTTTTGTTTAAGATAAGATTGGATGTTTTTTTTTAATTTAAGAATTTCATTTACAGTATAAGAAAAAAAATTTTAATCAGGAAGAAAATCTTTTCTAAAGCCGATAGCTGTTGTTGTTATTCGTTGTTGTAGTTCATGCTCATCATCTTTTTCAATTTGTACTCGTCGAATAGACGATGAACGTTCCCGCTGTTGATTTTGTTTTTCTATACTTGATGAACGACTAGAACGTATTGGCGATGCTGCATTATACTCCAGTGCACGATTTTTTTCTTCAAGCTGTTGTTCTAGTTGTTTTATTCGATTTTCTAATTTGTCCACATCAGCGATTGCTGACGGTGGTGGTGGTGGTGGTGGTGGCATTGAAACTGCAGCATTAGCCGATGGACGAAGAGAACCCATCATAAAAGGTAAATGAACTTCATATCGTGAATACATGAGAATTATAACAATAACAATAAATAAAATTATAGTAATAATAAGTGGCCATAAAACCATAGGCACATGGCGCATAGTACCGGCAAAGAATTGTGATAAACTTTCACCGATGGCACCAAGTGGTGTAACAAACAGTTGAGCAAAAGTCATTGATACAGCCTTTAAAAAAAATAATAGCCCATCTTGTTTATTACATCGAAGGAAAAGTTACTTGAACTGGTGTGACTTGTGAATGTGGTGTAGCACGTAATGCTTTGTGATATTCCAAGCATTCATTAGTTTGCACTAGAAAGAAACGACCGAAACCAGATTTCACATAATCCCATACTCCCAGTGGATGACCTTGACAATGTTTTGGAATTTTTTTCATAAGAACTTCATCGACTTTGGCTTGCGCTTCCTAGAGAACAATTCTACTTGATGTTTTCATCAAGTTTAACTTGATAATCAAACCTGATAAAGTGTATACCAATTTTGAATGACAGAAACAACGAATCCTACTATAACGAATGTTGTTAACCATCGACCGCGACGGAGATGAGAACGAATACTGATAAAACTGATTGCTCCAATCATTATCATAATCAATATATACTAGAATGTAATCATTGAATAGTTATTAATTTGGTCTTATCAGACAAGAGTGTGCGGGTGCATTCTGTGGTATTGAGTCAAACCTACACTCACACCTTAACTTACTTTTATTATCAAATTGATATCACATGATCGGAGCCAAATCGACCACGTTAAATTACTGAATATTGGTTTATCTTCTTCCACTTTATATACAAGACGTTTGAGCAGATCAGATATCATATGGACTTCATGCAGAACATCTTTCTAAAAAAACATGCATACAATTATATTTACAACAAAATGCAACTGAAATGTAAAACGAACGTGTTCATAGTTTGTTTTCGAAGCAAATTGATCAAGTCGATCGAATTCATGTGATGATAATTCAAGAAAAATACGATATTCTTTAGCGTCTTTCGACTAAATGTGTTTAATCAAGAGTATTAATTTTAATATGTAGAGGAAAACGAATTTCATACCGGAAACTTTTCTAGCAGATCTTTTACCATTTGACGATATGCAGTTAGTACTGTTCGATATTCAGTTTTAAATGTTGCTGAGCATGCTCGATCATCATTCTAAAATAGTTAACTTACAGTCAAAAATAGAAACTAAGGAGAAGAAGAACTAAAGAAAACTTACAACATTCAATATATGTTTTTGAACTTTTTCTTTTACTTTTTCAGCCACTTGATCTTTAGCATTATTGAACATATCAAATATGTCCTGAGAATGAACGAATAAAATTGTTACCAATAAATAGAAAATAATACACCGGGATCCCGAATTTGACAGCATATTTGTACGTTGTTTGAAATTAAAATGGAATTCTGAGAACTAATGTTTTTACTACAAGTAAATCAACTCAATAGAGAAGATATGGAGACATCATATAAGCTTATGGGAAATATATTTAAATGATGTCGCTAGTTATTTAATAGTGACAGCAAATATATTCTTTTGCCAATTGTCTCGTTCATTATATATGAAACTATGCGCATTTTATGTTTATCTTACATTCTCAGAGGATCACAAATTTTAAGTAAAAATAAAATGAAAACTTCATTGTTCCTGTTTGCTTTCAAATCCTTTCTGAATAATTTTACTTGAAGAAATCACTATTCACATAATCGATTGTACGAATGTTACAGAAAAATCAAACATATTAGTATTAGTATGGATTTGAATGAATCAACAAACTCATAGATGCACACAAAAAAGACAGATTAGGGTAATCAAATACTGTCAAGACATCTAAATAGGAATAATGTCCTATGGATTCATCGTTTTCTTGCTGACAGCTAGCAGATTTTAAGTGTCAGAGCATGTTGATTTTGATGAATTTACGACTGTCTTTGCCATGCTTTCCGATTGACTATCTGGTTCCAAGCGAAGGACATCATTAGTTCAGATACTTCCGTAATTTCTTAGAGTTATATAAAATCGGTAGGAATAGAACAATGTTCTGATGAAAATAGCCACTTCTAGAAACGAGCTGATTGATTATGACGAGAAAAAACTCATTCGCATACATTGATATTCGTGGATCATTGTGAAACCCGTCAATTACTTTTTAGTCTCGAAAATCTGAGTGATTCTTTTTGTTATTAGAGTAACTGTTTGCTAGTTTTTATGGAATATAGACCGAAAGTAAATCAAAAATTGAAATTTGATCTACAAAAAAATTCATATTTTTTACTATTCGATTTACTTTCTCTGTACAATACTACATCTTTTGACAGTATATAGGATGGATAACTGTGATTAAATTACCGATCCAGTTCTGTATGACGTATTTCTGCAAAACTTCCAACTAAGCATTTACATTAACGTTGACTTCAAACATTTAGTAGATGCATTACAGTCGATGATAAAACGTACCAATCATGTGGCGCGCTCTGTTCGTCTGACGCATAGTAAAAACACGTAAATACTTCATTCATTCTTTCATTTTATTTATTTTTTTTGCTTCTGTTTCATACCTTATCATCACAAGCCTACACGCGAATATCTAATTGTGAGACGAAAATATCATTATTTATCATACTATATTTGTAAGCAATCGAAAAACAAGGAATCAATATGAATATCAATGCAAATCAAGCGGCACAAACAGCAGGATATGCTGGACAAGCTATGAATGCATTCCAAGCTGCAGTGAATATCGATAATCAACAACCGAAACCTGAGGGAACAACATTCTGGTTTCGTTGGCTTATTCGTATTGTTGCTATTGTAACTGGCATTCGTAAGTCTTTCATTTATACAACAAGGATAAATGTTTCTGATTCAAATTTTCTAGTTGCCATGATATGTGGTGTGTTTGGAGCACTGAGTACGAGTCCTTCGTGTATTGTAGCTGGCGCCATAACGATGTTAGTGAATTTCTTTCGAAAACATTACATGGGATTTTGAATTTCTTTCTTTCTTGTAGTTTCCTTGGCTTTGCTATGATTATGCTTGAAGTGCCGATCTGTTGTCAATTTGTTCGATTTACGCAACCGGTGGCAAACTTTTCAGAAAATCGTCCTGCTTGGCAAAAAGCATTTTTGTATTCAATGTGAGCGGATTAGACATTTTAAAAATACCTAAGCTAAATTTCCTTGATGCTGGAGAAATCCGAAATTCGAATTCATAGTCATAGGTTTTTCCTTCTGGAGATACATAATTGGTAACAGAAAAAAATCTAGTTCTGCATTCTGAGGTTAAAATAAAAGAATAAAATTCAAATGCGAAAGCCAATTTTGAGAATCATCTTAGGAAGACTATAGAATTTCATCGTTAAGTCTCTATAAAATAGCTATTATTGCATAGAAAATGAATAAAATGCGCTGAAGCTAAAATCTTCGTGTTAAAAATCAGAAATCGATTTAAGATAGATAAGAACGTGTAACGTATAGTTTTTCTCTTGTAGAGAAAACTTTACAAAAGAATTATCAATCTTGACGAAGTTTTCTGTGTGAAAGATTTCGTTTGATTGGAAAGAAAGCAAAAATCGATATCGCCGATCTCTATTTAGAGCTAAAAGTCAAATAAAATATTTCTCGAACTTTACTGTACCTCAAAATGATTCTATGAATATCCAAATACGTATCTCAGTACATTACTTAGATATACTCAAAATAATTCGCATGAATTTCGAGTTTTACGCATGTCTAAATAGAATTAAAATCTCAATAAAAACATATGCAAATAACACAGCTGTATGTGTACCAATAAATATGTTAATTTAGACCACCACTGTTGCCACTTATTCTCTGCCAATCGATAAGCATAGTATTGGGTTTCATTTGTCTACTTGTTAATGGTGCAATTCAATTCATGTTAGTTGTTGGCAAAAAGTAATTAAAATTGATAAATTTCTCAAGTTTGTTTATCCATTTATTTATTTTCTAGAGCATCGAGAGAAGAAATGATGCAACGAGCTGCTGGTGCTGATGACAGCCGGGGACCACGTGTGCCTGATGGTCCTCCCGTCAATGCAGCAGGCAATAAAAGCTTTACATTTACTCAATTACCGTAAGAAACGTACGGCATCGTAGTAATGACAATAATTCCAAGTGTATTTTTCTTTTGATCTTGCTAATTAAGCATTTGTCTCTCTTTTTTTTCTGTTTGTTTCCTTTCGTTAAACTAAATTGAGTTAACATCAGTTTTTGATATATCTATTGTTATCATGCAGTAATAGTTGGAGCTTGTCTTACTGTTATCATGACGTATTTGCTTTTCGTTAATCGTGATTGTTCTAAATTCTATTTATTCACTTATGTCTATCTATGTGAACCGTTCGTTTTTTTCTTCTCTTGCTAATGTTCGAACAAAAATCCATTGGAATTGAAACGCGAGATTAAAAAGACGTTTATAGCAGGTTAGAATCTCATATGAAAAATTCTTTTTTTTGCTTTTGAACGCTTTTTAACTGACACAAAGAAGAAGATATCGTTGACAATATGAGTTCTCTTTGTCTCAACTAAATTTGTGGGTATTTATATTGTTTGAAAATTCCATTTGTCATTTAAGAGATAGCTATTTTTATCATTTTTATTTGCCACATTGAAGCATGATGAGTAACTGACTCGTTCTTTTGTGAAATTCACATATATTTTTGAAGAAAATAGTGAGTGTAAGTTGAATTGTTAGGTTTTCACGGCTCCCCTGTAACCTCCCCCTCCCCATTACAGACGTAAAATATAAAAAAACTAACACTTAGATGCACTAATTAGAAACTTTTTTGGTACAGGTCGATTACCGATGTTCACCACTACTCACATCAGTAATAAAAATCTAGTTTCACTAATTAAAAATCATTATAATTAGGATTTAATCTCTAATTAATCATCAAAATCAGTCGTTGTTATTATAATAGTCCATAGTTACGACAGTATCGTATATTTTTATTATTACAGCCGTTAGCAACGAATGTAAGCTACCGCTACAGAAGCTAGTAACTAGTTTATGCTACTATTAAATTCGTTACTTCTACCACCTACAATAAACAGATGAAGATTTTAATCTTTTTTTCTCACACAAATATCTTATTCTAGAGCTTGAATCCATTTTAGTGTATTTACAATTCGGAACTTTTTCATCCACTGGGAAGCTTTTATCAAATTTTCGTTTATGAATAAAAGTATCAATTTCTCACCTGGTAATACGAAAAAATATAAATTTCTCAACAATATTGATAGCTATATCCTAAATACTGTTTAAACTATTATCATTCACAATATTTCTCAATGAAACCACTAAACACTTCAGGATACTGACGTGTTTTTAACAAAAAGTTTTTTATACGTTCTCTCTAGTAATATTTCTTATTGATAGATTATAATAAACTTCAAATGTTAAAAAGATTTTTTTATCTTATTTTTGAACAAAATATGATCTCGCTACACTGAAAAAATAAACTTTCTATTTGATCAGTATCTAACTGACCGAAATATGTGAGTTCCACATTTTAGCCGCAACGGGGCTACACTGAAAAGCTTTTGTAATCTTTGAAATGAATATGCACAGAAGTCTGTCTATACAAGATATATTTACGAAATATGATTCTAGAACGATTATGTATGAGTCAGAAAGTTCACAAAAAAATGCCTAAAGGAACAATGTAAAACGAAGACTTCTCATGCAGTTACCCTTAGAGTGTACGTGTGCGTAGAGTTTAACTATTACTCATTGATCTACTCTCACATAATTGAGAAAGACATCTTTGGAATAGAGCAATATAACAAAAAAAAGTTTTAAATACAAAAATAAATATGATATTCTGTCGATCAACCAAACTTCGTTTCAATAGAGTTTATATACAATTAACGAAAGGAATCCTTGAATTTCAAATAGAATTATAAACTCTAAAGTTTAGATTCTAAACTTTAGAAGAAAAAAACAAGAAATATTTTTGCACAATCCAATTAAGTCAAATAAAAATACTTAGAGTCGTCTGAACACGTAGTAGAACTAATTAGTCAATAACGTATGATATTCAAGAAAACTTTAGTAAGACTGTCTCGACTATGATATGTAGCAGTTATTTACAGACATATCGGAGCATCAACTTTATTCAATGCCATTCACGACCAGTCAATATAAAGCATACCTCTCAATACCAAGAGTACTATAATTGCGGCGTAGTTAAGTATTATAACCAAGCAAATCTTATTGAAATTTTTGTAAATAATGATTAAGAAGCGCATAACTGGCACAGCGAAAATTGTTTTTTCAAGTTTTATGAATTTCAAAACATGAAAACCAGAAAAGGAAAAAAATATGTTAGAAATAATTCTTTCGGTTGCCCTGATCAACAAGTCAGCAATACCAGGTTGCGGACGAAATATATTTCTATCAAAGAAATTGTACGATTTCGTTTCGATAAAAAAGAGAACAAGCAGAAACCGTCACGCATTCGAATCAACGAGAATTATATGAGGGCGAGGGCAATTAATATCAACTCATTTCCTATATTTAATTATTTCTTAAATTTGTTGCACAGAAACTATGCGACTCTTAATCATTCTATTTTTCAGTCTCTTATTTTCATGTGTACAAGGTTTGCCGTTTTAATTATTCATATTCTTTTTCATCATGCAAACAATATTTAGGCGAAACCACAGAAGTCCCTAATTAATTTTGTAGCGAAAACAACGTTAGTGTTGAATTTACACGATCTTCTTCGCCTCATTCTGGATCACAACCCGCATTAAACTGCGCGTTAACACAATGCAGTTCAGGTTCCAACGATCACATCGATTGTCTTCAATCATCAACACCTTGCTTCGATTACCGCAACATCAACAACATGAGTTATTGTGCACCGGGTATTTTATGCTCGATTTTGGAATCATGCAGCAATATTAATTATAGTTGTATATCAAATACTTCTGTGTGTGTTGTTAACTCGTGCTGTTCGCCACAGGCAGTATGTTTACCTTGGCCATTGGTAAATTTTTGTAAATCAGGTACAGATAGAGGTTACTAAAATTCGAATTTATGTATGAATTATTTAATACGTTGATAAGGAAACATTCTACCGAGCAAGTTAGGAATAAGAATAAAAAGAAAATTTGTTGATGAGATGAAGGACAAATCATCAACGAAGGAATTTAACAGCAAAACAGTTGTCAAGAACTACGAAATAGTAATCTTACTGCAATTGAACATATATGACATACACTCGGACTGGTGAAATGAATATCACCCATAGATTCTTACAGTTCTACAATGCTAAAAGCTTGAAAAAGAAATTTTCTAAAAGAAATTATTCAGCATCGTTACGTATTGAACGGATTTTTATTTCAATGTGAGTTATATGTTACATAATGTGTTATTATGAATTTCGGTAGGAGCGATCTTCATGAATCATTCCTATTCATAGATACATCTTCTACAGAGTACGAAGAGTTTCGTACTCTGTAGACAATTGAAACGCTAGTCTAGACTGAAGTGTTACAAAACATAGCATTACAAGTAAGAGCTCATGTTTATTTATAATAATATCCGAACACATACTTTACTTATGAGCATAGAATGTTCTGTTTTTCTACCATACGATAACTTCTCAACTTGAATATGTTTAAATGATTTTTTTTTCTAGGATGGACCAATACTGGTAGTATGAATAATGCACGTTATGATCACACAGCATCAGTGTTAACAAATGGAAAAGTGTTAGTTGCTGGTGGATCCTATGGTAGTGCACCCATGAATAGCACTGAGTTGTATGATCCATCAACAGGAGTTTGGACAGTTACTGGTAGCATGAATAATGCACGGCATTTGCACACAGCACCGGTATTAATCAGTGGGGAAGTGTTAGTTGCTGGTGGATCCTATGCTAATCAAGCCATGAATAGCACTGAGTTGTACAACCCATCAGCAGGCGTTTGGACAGTTACTGGTTGTATGAATAATACGCGGTTTTCGCACACAGCATCAGTATTAGCAAATGGAAACGTTTTAGTGGCTGGTGGTGAAGATGCTCGTAGTGAAATTATAGAGAGTGTTGAGTTGTATGATCCATCAACAGGATTGTGGACACCTACTGGTAGTATGAATAGTGCACGGTATTTGCACACAGCATCAGTATTAACAAATGGTACAGTTTTTGTTGCTGGTGGACATAATGGTAGTTTTCCTCTCGTGAGTGCTGAGCTGTATGACCTATCAACAGGAGTTTGGACACTTACTGGTAGCATGAATAATGCACGGTTTTCGCACACAGCGTCAGTATTAAGAGATGGAAAAGTTTTAGTAGCTGGTGGATATAATGGTAGTTTTATTCTCGCGAGTGCTGAGTTGTATGATCCATCAACAGGAGTTTGGACACTTATTGGCAGCATGAATAATACGCGTTATTATCACACAGCATCAGTATTAACAAATGGAAAAGTGTTAGTTGCTGGTGGAATACACGATAATCAAGCTGCCAATAGCACTGAGCTGTATGATCCATCAACAGGAATTTGGACACGTACTGATAATATGAATGATGGACGGATTTTGTACACAGCATCAGTATTAACGAATGAAAATGTATTAGTTACTGGTGGGCTTGGAGTTGGAATCGTTACTCTGAACAGCTCAGAATTATATTAAATTTCTCAAAGCATCTGATTGAATTTTAAAATGTTTATTCACGCTAAAATTGAATTTCGTTTGTATTTTCGTTACGGAAAGATTATGTTGCTTTGCTCCTCTTACTTCTCAAATCAGTTTATAGTGTTATATTTGAACAAATACATTTTTATTTAGCTTATTCACTAATGTAATTTTAGCACAATATTAATATTTGAAAGAGTAGCCGGTATAAATAAGTACCTGTTCTAAGATGAAAAGTTTTCAGATATACAGTTGATATGTACACTGTTTCACTGTCACACGAATTTTTAAGCTCGAAACTCTTTGCTATTTCAATGATGAAAATGTTTACTAATCAGCGTCGTTAGTTAGTAGAGATTTCAAATTATATCAAGCAGCATGTTAAACACTGTTTCAAAATAAAATACAGCGAATTGCTATAAGATATTCAATATTTTCATAATTCGTGATAAACACTCATTTGATAGAAAATGAATTATGCAATCAATAGAATTATCATTAACGTCTAGTTAGAATTATAGATTCCGTATATAAAAATTCATTTTTACATTGAATTCTAGCGTTTAACTTCCTCCATATTTAACATCATAATTAATAGCTTGTAGCGTCATGTCTACGATAAAGTTTCCTCGGTATAAACAAAAAAGAAGAATATTACTCTCTTCAAGTTCTCATTGAAATCGTCCAATCAGAAACTAATAGCACTGTCAGATGTGCACTGATACTTGATCGTATTATTAAATATCTGCTAGCATAGTTCTTTTGATATTAATAAATGGTGAGAAAGATTTAGACAATCTTATAAATCATTTACAGATCATACGTGAAAAAATTAATTTTTAATATTGAACTGCAACAAATCATAAAATTTCCAAAAGCAATGTCATTTCAGTCTTTTGGAATTGTAATGCTCAATCGTATAAACATTTATTATCAAAATTTATTGATTAGAAAAAATTGTGATTACAGCAGAGAGGGAAAATAATGGGTTTATAACTTATTTCCTATGTTCAATTTTATGGCAAAATAAAATATGATCGTTAGAGTTTACTAACAAATTTTAGGTAACTACGTTTAAAATATTTTCTTAAGTCATGATTATATAAAAATAAATCAATAATAATGATAAACGATGTTAATTTACACAGAATTGTTAAACTTAAAGATATCATCGTATTAACCACTGAGTAGTAATTAATAATTGGTATTATATATATTGGAGTCCATCCTCCAACAGATATATAAAACATAAAAATCATATGTCTTACTAATTTCATATCCCGACGACTAAATTTTGTTCGTTGAACATTTCCGGGAATCATTTGTGGCTGAATACGATTTGATGACGCCCAAACATAATTATAAATAAGAATATTTATAAGCAAGTTCAGAATTGATGGAATTATTACAATGGTTATCAAATTATGAATTTGAAGCCATACAAATCGACCACAAAACTAAAATATTCGTTAGAATATGACTTAAATTCTCCTTAAAATCTTACCATTTCAATACATAATACATTCAGTAGAGATAAAGTAAAACCCAAAGTCCATTGACTTGCGATACATAATAAAACCCATCGTTTTTTTCTTAGAAAGATTTTCACATGGTAAACTATAGAATAATACCGATGAAACGATACTATTAGCAGGCTAAATAGTACTTGAATAGTAAGTAAACTTTCAGCCGTGCTTAAATAAATCCAGGGTTTTGGAAAGATTGCATACAGACCCTCGAATAATGGAGTAATTGAAACAGGAGTCCAAGATAGACAACAAGCGATGATTGCAAAACATACGTATATTGACTGTAAGAATCTTATTTTATTGATGAAAGCGACGAACACAAAGGATTGGAATCGAATAAAGGATTCCGAAAAGAATAATGAGAATGAAAAGAACACTGTGAATAGAATAAAATACGCGTTCTACTTTGTCCATTGGATTCGGCGTATAAAGCGTTTGAAACATGCCGTTGGTATTTTTCTTTCAGTGAAAATTTCCAAAGAAATCTAAGATAGAAAAAAGTTACAACACACAAATAGAATATCATTTCAATGGATGCGGTGACGTTGATCTGTCATCAACTGGGTCTATTTGCAAATAGGAACGACTCTTTTCTATCCTCTCACAGAAAAGTTGATTACTTTAAAGATGAAGATTTCACAGTTGACATTGCAGACGACAAGCGAAGATTTTACTATTTAGTAAGCTAAAAATGGAAACCAGACAATCTATTAGGATTTCGATAACGAAAGAATGAAGTGCATAGCAGTCAACTGACTTTCTATTTGATTAACCATAAGCACAAACTATCCAACATAGCTTATGATTTTGAAAATTCGCACTGAGAAGACTAACACTAAACTCGAATCAACACATATTGAAAATATGCGTTTTTCTTCAGTGATGCTTCTACCTATGATCAGAAAGGAACTATGACTTGTTTGTTTTGTAAAATTTTGCTATGAATAACGGAATGTTTTTAAAAAAGTATGTAATCATTTATGAAAAATGTATAAATGAGCTCAGCATTATCTTCGTGCGTACTTCACTCAAACTATAACATTTTTTGTGAATCCCAACCGACGGAAGTCTATTTCATTGTTGAAATCAGCTATAATAAGAGAACTATAGGCGGTAATTTTAAAAGTATTATAGCCCACAGTTATAAAGAATGCCTTAGACAGTGTCTTATGAGTGAAAATCATGCCGACGCTTCAAATCACTCTCTCAATATTAGGGGTGGCACTTTGCGTTAATTTAATATTAAGCGTTAAGTTTTAACTTAACACTTAATATTAATAAAAAAGACGTTTACATTAGTCTCTTAATTACTTCATATTAAGTATTAAATCAAGACTTAAGTTTTAAAATTAAGTCTTAACGTAACATTTAATTTAAAAAATTAAGCATTGCTTTAACACTTAAAATTAAGTAATTAAGCAGCTAATATACACATTTTTTTATTGATATTAAGTGTTAAGTAAAACCACATAATTAACTCAAATTAAAATCAATGGCTCACCCCTACTCAATACAGCTGACCTTTTCTAACAAAATGAATGACACGCTAAAAACTTGTAGAAGAAAACTAGTAGCATATGTGAAGTAATAATAATAATTCAGTCATTTTTCTGCTGAATATAGAATCGTTCACTACTAATTATTTTGTGACAAAACTTGCTTTTATGTAGGAAAGGCATTGCGAAGAAAAAAATAGCGTCTTTCCTAGAGAATACTTCAACTCTCCTATGAAAAATCCAAGTATTTTGCAGATTGAGATCCGACATAGTTTCAGTGCACCCTCGAGAAACTATTTTTTGACTGATAGCTTATAATAATCCAAAACACATTATTTTGCTTTTCGGAAATGTCTTATCATTGATTAAATATTCTATTTCTTTCGTAAAATAAATAAAAATCTTGATAATTGAACTTGTTCGATACCCATAATCGGATTATAACAATACGAATTTATATGATACAAAATTTAAGTCACTCCAACTCTCTAACACTTAAAGACAACATTAAATATATTTCACAATGCAAGTATTAGCATTTAGCACAACATCTCAAACAAATACTTATTAAATATTTTCTGACTTTATGATTATACAAAAATAAGTCAATCATATTGATTAATAAGGCTAATTCACACCAAAGAGCAGAAAGGGCGTATAGTATATTACTAACAGGCGTAAAATGATGAACGATTGGTATTATAAATAGTGGAGTCCATCCTCCAAGAAATATGCAAAACATCAAAACCATGTGTCTCAGCAAATACAAATCACGACGACTGATTTTGATTCCATGAATTTCACGAGTATTACTCGTTTCTGATTGAACACGGCGAGACGAAACCCGAACATGATAATAGATCAACATATTTGTAATAAAACTGATGGCCGATGGAATTATTGCAATACCTATCAAGTTGAAAACTGCTAACCATATTGAATATTGAATACGCTAGAAAAGTTCATTCATAGATAAATTTATCTTGCTTAAAAAACGAATCTTACCGTGTTAATAGATATATAATTTGGTAACGACAAAACCAAGCACAACAGCCATTGACTTCCAATACATAATGCAATCCATTGTCTTGTTTTGAAAAAAGCCTTTGCATGATAAATTATAGAACAACAACGATGAATGGATGCTACTACAAAACTAAATGGCACTTGAATAGTAAAAGCGAATGTAATCATATTAAAAATAGCAAATAAACTAATATTTCCATCTCGACCGATAAGTAGAGCCACTGCATCAAGAGAAAACCAAGATAGACCGCAAAATATTGTTGCAAAACATATATTCAGCGTTAGCATATGATTATTGCGATGAAAACGACGAATACATATGATTGGAATTGAATAAATAAGTGCAAGAACAATAATTAGAGTGAAAGTAATAATACTAACAAGATCTATACCACTGAGTGATGGTGCCATTGTTTATAATCGAAAAAAAGAAGTTACACTTCGATTTTGGTATTGTTGAGCTAATCCTAATGAAATAGAAATAATGATTTGTAGAAGCAAATTATCCATTGATCTGAACTGGTTACAATTTTTTTACTAGTTGGAAATTTTGTTTCAAAGAGCAGCTACATTTTCAATACTTGAGTATATCTAACTTGTAATCGATTTTTGACGCCGAGGTCTGAACAATTTTTATTAAACCGAACTTATGAAAAGCTGATTTGTACAAAAAAAAAGAATACAGAACTTTTAGTAATTCAAAACGAAAATATCCTTTGCTGTGTTCTTCGGTATTGAAAAGAATGTTGTTGATTAGTTCTTATGTTCAGAATTTACCTAAGTGTTCACGTTTACTTGTATTGTAGAATAGAATGATGACTAGGCATTATGGTATCAACAATATTTTAGATTATCCTTAAAAAAATGTCCGTAGTAAAGCTACTGGAACATGATTAGTTACGTGTTAGATAGATCAGATATCCGATGCGTATTATTTTCTCTCAAACATAATCAAGGATAACGTGATTAATTATTTTGATTCGTTAAAACTCGTATTAAAACACGTCTTGTAAAATTAATTCATCTAGAGATGCAATAACATCTGCATTGTCATGCAGAAAAACAAGCATACATTCTTATATTTTATTGTAAAAGAAGTTTGAATAGTACATCCATTATATGGAGAATTTTCACCTCGGGAAAGTGATCAATATTGAAGCTACAAAAAGAAATGTGGATCATCGATGTTTTCAGAGAATGAGTTTTAGCAAAGTTAGGGATGATAAATGAACGATGTTTTTCAAACGTAGATGTCTATGTTGAAATCAAGATATTGTAAAAAGCAATTGTATTATTCCTATATCAGACAAGCTCTATATGTAATTGACTATGCTGTATTACATCCTTCTTTATCACTTTCGTTAATATCATCCACAATTAAAATGGTTATGAGTCAATATTTTTCCAAACTCTCTCAACACAGATCTGCCGGCTTCGTAAGGACTTTAGTATGAAATATAGATAGGATAGGATTTTGAGGATAGAATTATTATAGGATTGTTAGAATAATATATGAAATATATAGGATCAGCTTGTTTAGTAAAAGTAAAAGGCCTTAGATAGCAGATAAAATTATGTTGGAACATTCAAGCTAAGGGCATTTAATGCGAAAAAAAGCAAATTGTAAGTTATTAAATTTGAAAAACTTCGCGAAAAAATATACTATGTGAATCATTTTTATCAAGAGTAATAATTTGAGTTTTTTCTTCAAGATTTTTCTTTATTGGAATAAATCATAAAGATTCGAAATATTGATTCTATCTAATGAAGATCCCAATTCATTAAAATATTTTATATAAATGATTGATTTCTTCAAAAGTTGAAGTAAGATTCTGAAATAATATTTGACAAAAAAAAATTATTTTAAAATCAAATATTTTTCAAGATGAAATAAATGTCATGCATGAGATGATTTCACAGTAGATGTCACCATTGCATGAACTGTTCGTGTTCTATTTGTGTGAATTTTGTCATTAGTTCGTTAAACTAACTATTACGTGAACGAAAGAATTATCCAAACGAAACAAAGACTTTATTCGTAATGATGAAAGTATGTTTTTTTTAGTATTCTTACAGGATTAAGTTTTTGAACTTTCATACCATGATATTTTTAGATATCTTTTGACAAATATTATGCAAGAACCCATGTCGTATAAAACGGTCCGTAAACGACCCTCAACGCCTAAAAAAAGGCTGTCTCTTTTCATCGTTTAGGGCATTAATTACGCCGTTTCTTGACCGTTTCAGGCAATTTAATGCCATCTTTCAGGCGGTCTGAATGATGAACCTGGGAAGCATTAAAAGTGAGTGACTTAGAGAACATCAATCAGTTAATTGACATTTTCTTTTTCTTCGTATTTTAGAGAAAAGCAAAAGCAAAAGGAGATTGCGACAGACAATTGGAAAGTTATATTGACAATCTATCATCGTCTGTTAGTTCAGATTATCAAAATATGGGTTCATCACAAACAGATGATGATATAGTAAGTGGTATAACTTAATCATTATTTCTACTTGATACCATCTGGTCTCTGACCAGAACTTTTTTAAAATTAGAAATCCTTCTAGGGTTAAACTTTTCTAGAATAAAGTATTTTCCATAAATAACAGCAAAAATATCGGATTTTTTATGCATAGCTAACGTTGATTAGTCTGTTTTTATTCACTTCGCTGCTCGAGATTTTTACAATAGAGTTAGCATTAGCAGTTGGACTGTAATCTGAATACTATTCTAATCTCCTTTTATCAAGGTAAACAGTTCAATCGAATATTGGTATAAAGTTCAATTATAGCACATTGTTCAAATATCAATAAACACCAAGCAAAAATTGATCATAAACTTTGGAAAACTAAGCAAAAATCAAAAATTCAAATCTAGACTGTTGATGAGAGTCTGTCTGTGTATTTCAGCGCGGAGGTCTGAGTTCGTTCTTTACATTAGCGAGCGCACATCCATATGTTCGCCAGTTCGTTGTTGGCATCGATTCGACAAAACACCTGGTGTTAAAGTTTTTGGTATAATGTTTATAAAATGATAGATAGTGATTTTTTAGTTACTTTCCCCATTAGAGCAAGATTACCTCATCTCCAAATCTAGATGAAAGAAAACTTTCTAATATAAAAATTTATGCAAGCGATACATATCTATTATTATTTATCGTAAACATGTAAATAGCTATACTTGTATACACGTATACGTAAAGCTCCAATAAAAAGGCTCAATGGATATATCATCACTTTGTGAACGTTAGCCCTTTTCTTTTTGATTATTTCATGTTCATAGCATTAAGCAATTTCTCAGCCAATCCGTTGCGAAAAGTTTTATTTAAAGAGGTTCACGCTTTATTATATCTGCACCAGCGTTGTAACCGGACCAGGTCCGGTTTGGAAAATTAACCGAGGTTGGAAATTAAACATAACTATCTTCATTTCCTCTGTTTTTTTTCGTAAAGTGAAAAGTATTTTTGTGTTTTCTCAACAAGTATGAAGTTGATGAAATGGTTTCCCATCAATATATATATGTCGTATCGAAGTTACGCCGGTCGTCGAAGTTATAACTTCGTCGGACTATATTGACGAAGTTATTTTTAATTCACTTATCAATAAATAATTTACCAAATTGAATATTCTGATGCTGAATGTATGATAAAAAATTAAGCTTTTTCTAACAAATACTCATTTATT